TTAGGAGGCTCTACTCATAAGCAGAGCTCCGACTATGTTTACGGCTAAGGGATGAAACAAAATATGCTTCCTTATATGCTTATTAAAACCTGTAATTCCTATGCCTTTTATCTTAAATATTTCAAAGCATTTCATGTACCCTTGGACAGGCACGGTTGTTTTACAGCACGATGTGTATCGACCTTGTTGGCATTCAGTACATTCGCAAGATTCACTATTTTGGAAGGGCGATCAAAGATGCTCGATACGCTTTGGTAAACGTTGGCGGTAGAATGGTTCATGTCCCAGACCTGATGCGTTATGCATCAGTTTTACAACAGGTTTCGACTTCGATAATCAGAACAGGATCGCTGTAACAAAGCTAAAATTTCCACAAAGCATTCGCAAAAAAAATTTTTTTTTAAATTTTGCATGAAATACTTCAACACCATATTTGGTTTTGTCAGCTACAATTGGTAGTCTGATCCAGTTAAATTTATGGCAACTTTTTTTAGTTCATATGATCAATGTTGCGCTGCCTGCTGGCCAGCCTAGTGGTGACTTTAACCTTTGTTTCGTCTCCTGATGGGATTACCGCCTCGACAGTTTCCCTGGCCAAGACATTTCAACTTCATAAATAAAAATTTTTTTTGCTCGGATTAATAAGTCCTTGATTTTTGTGCTGTTTTTATCAATTTTTTCATTTTTTTCTCGGACATTTTGGTATTTTTTATTTTTCGGAATTTTTCGTTTTTCCTTATTCCGATTATTTCAATTATTTGATAGTATTTCAATTATTTCAATTACTCGGCTTAAAACTTTTTAAACAACAATTAGTTGAATATGCCTAACACGCGGAATATGAATCTCATATGTAATGCACCACTAAAAAGTGTGCTAATATTGCAGTCTGAGGAGAGAAAGAGAAGTTTTCTTTAAAAGAAAAACATTAAATTTTTGCTATTAAATTAAAGCCTGATGTATTTGTAAGCAATATGTTTTATTGAAAAAGTTTACCCTGAACATCAGTGAATTTGCCCAGTACAAGCTAACCGTAATAAAAATATGCCAAAAGTGACCAATGTCAACCATATTTTCAAAAATATTTTACAGTCTAACACAGCTGCCTCTATCTAGCTTGTGGGAACATTCCGGTAACATCGCTAACATTGATTCCTCACATCCACTGTCCGGTTGATCTCCGTATTCTTAGTGATTTTGCCCCAAAAATAATCTCGATAAAACTGCTAATTTGGAGAATATGTGTTATTTGGAACAGTGTTTTAAGGAGACTTTTATTGCAGAAATATGGCCAGAAAAAGCAAGGACGACAAGGTCGATTGAAAGGCGCTTACACGCCAGATGATTTACCGCTGATTCGATACATCGATTATGGCTCGTTCGCCAGCGACGATAGCCGCTTGCATTTCTTTGCTAATGTTTTCAACAAGCCCACTGAACCGAGCGCTGTCTGATTGAGCGGCTGCTTTATCCGAACGTGTTGTACAAATTCTTTTACTTCAATAAATCTTTTTCATATGCTCCAAATTCATTGCATTGATAAGATGCTCAAAAAACCAAAATTTCCACAGTTTGGCTTTCTGTTAGAGGCTAAGGCATCCACAGGTAGTCCAAGTGGTAGCAAGTATCAACAAAAATCACCTGCTGTCCGAGCTGCTGATGGCTCTTTCTTTCGAAGGTTCCTCAGAAGCAAGTTGACTTTTGAGCCCTACGGAATTTTTCGTTGTACCTTCTTCAATCTCAAACACACTTACACGTGAATACTTGAAACGGATAGATTCATATTCGGAACGTTCTCCAGCGTTACAGAAAGTAACCATTGATAGAATCCTCTCGCCCAATGTTCTTAGCACAGAGCGAGCCAATGAACTTCTAATGGTCACTGTTTTAGACGGTGGCTCATTTTTTATAATTCGGCACAAAGCACTTCTTTATGTTTGCTGCTTAGTAAGAATGCGAACTTCTTCCTCATCACCTCCTATGTTTCTGCCTCGCTTGGCTGCTTTGTCCATACAAATACGCTTTTTTTCAATTTTCCTCATCTCTAGCATTTTCCAGTAAAAAATGTTTTTCTTAATAAGTTAAAAAGCTTCAATAGACTTTGGGTTTCCTGGTTGCTGTGTCTCATCTTTTAAGCTTTTCTGGACGTGGAGCTGAAAATGTCTAATAAATACGTGAATACTGAGGTAGATGGCGTAGGAATTATGAGTTATGTATTTTATAGGCATATGGGAAAGCAAATTATATTTGATCCCTTAGCTGTAAACACATGCAGAGCTATGCGAGTGGTATGAGCAGGAATCATCAGTACAGCCTTGTATCAGCAATATGTTAAGTGCGTATATAATTAATTTTCAAGTTTGGCACAAGCGGAATAAAAAGAAAAATGAAAATGCACTATATTTATGTGCTTCCAATATTTATACAAGTGCAGAAGACACATAAAAGGACCTGGCATAGATGTGCCTGGTGTATGGGAGCATTTCAATAACATTACTAACATGGGTCTTAGTATTCTTCAATTTTAAATGGTTTATGGGATTAATGACAAATTTCGTCAATCATATCCATCATGTCAGTTCTACGACTGCCTTCTATTTTTGACATTTGTCATCCGAGTGCATCTGGTCTTCTGGAAAAAATGGCATTTTTTCCTGAGATGCTGAAAAATTTTTTTCACATAGGAAAAAACAGGCCAGTGTGATGCACGACGAGCGTAAAATTTAAAAGCAAACAGCCGCTTTCTGTTTGCTCCGCCGGACCAACTTGCAGCCACTGGAACTAGTCTGAAGTTTTAATATTTTTCTTTGTTCATCGTTTTTGAATATATTACTTCACAAGTCTGTTTTTATATATTTGATAAGAGAATTTTGACAGGGGAAAATACCATTGAGGTTACCGTACAGGGTAGTACAATATGTCGTACTGATGATTGTAAATATCGCATCGTAATAGACATCGATTAGACCATTAGGCATTAAATGGAGACATGCAGCCCATTATTATTATTACTGTTACCAATATTATTATTATTACCATTATCATTGTTGCTATTAATAGTATTATCACTATTGTTGTTATAATAATAGTAATTATTATTGCTAATAATAATTACTAATAATAACAAGAACAACCTGTTAACATCACTAACACGGGACTCCAGATCGATTGTCTGATCCGACTTATAAATTCGTAACCACGCAGTGTGGAGTATCTTATAGTTAAACCCAGACTGGAACGCACCAGGAGGGCCGGTGCGATTATGCGTTTTTGCACTTTTCGTGCCGTAGCAAGATCGCAAGGAATCACAGTAGTTAACCCTGTGACGTACTGGCCGTCGAAGTTCAGAAATTTAATTGTGCAGCTATGTGGTATGTCAGTTGTAGATGTCGACTTTAGTGACTCGACAAATGGAAAGTAGCTGGCCCGCGCAAAAGGCCGCACTAGAGGAGTTAAATTAGAAATCTTTTAGCCGCACACGAGTAGAGAACATGGTCTTAAAATTAAAGCCTTCAGCTTTTCCCGTTCCCGAGTTAGCATTTTTCTCATAAAAATTTTCACGTGTCCGTACGTGAGTACCGAACGGTTTTAAGGAGCTGAATTTGAAATCTTTTGG